AATTCACTATGGACTTCCCTGAACGCTTGTTTCACAGGCGGCTATATGACAGGACTCTTCTGTCTCGTCCCGGACCCCCCCCCCCCCCCCCCCCCCCCCCTCCGCCTCTCTTTCCCCCCCCCCCCCTCGCCATCAAAGGGCGGGGGGGGGGGGGGGGGGGGGGGGGGTTCCATCAGCTTGCAACAAATCTTGGTAGAACAGGCAACGCACCGTCCTTCTCGAGTGGACGCGAAAATCCGACATCCAAGAACGGTACGAGCCATTGAAAGACGAGCTTGGAGAAGAATCTCAATAAAATCATAAGCATTAAAGTCGCGTACTGGACTGAAAAGCATACGGAGCGTTCGCCTCTGGGACAACATTGCCTGATCCAAACGCAGGAGGTGCAGGCGGAGGACGAAACAGGTTAGCAAGCTTCATATTGCGCTAGAGCGAACACCAGAAGGGGTGGAAGCACAATGTGAGTAAAGCCGCGCGTAGATATCTATGGGACGTGGTACAAGTTCTGAGGTAGTCAAACTAACGTTAGGCAAGGTCAAACGATGGAAGACGCGTCCTGAACTACTTAGCAAACGCCGAGGCATGTGAGTCATCTGCTATGACAACTCGTCTAGCTGTGATGCCGGGGAGACGCGTATGCAAAATAGACGCCCAATCCACACAAAACAGATAAAAATATATCTCACTGGAGCCTGTGAGGATTGAACTCACGACCTCATGCAGGTTCGCAGATGCGAAGCATGCGCGCTACCACTGTGCCAAGACCCCTGATGTCCTTGCCTCCAGGGAAGATACTATAAAAGGGAAGATTCTCTGGCTATCCATTTGCGAGTTGTATCCACCTGAGGCCGGCCCGACGACTTTGACCTTCGCGCTCGATGTGTGATCACGAGAACCGCTTGTTGGAATAAGAACTCCACTGCGACGATATACTCTTCCTCTTCGGCCTCACCTTGAGCTGTCAGTGCTACGCAACAAAACTTTAGACCAAACACAGGCTGCCGGTGTTGAACGCAGTACACGACACCGAACAGAGAATCGGGTTGTCGGGGGCAGGGCCAAGCTCGAGAGCAACTATTACTTTTCTCGCGAACAAATTAGAATGATCATATGTCCACATCGCCCCCACCTTTGGTTTAGCGCCCGGGCCGCGAACGCGCTCTTATTAGCGCTCAACAAGGCGAAGCCATCTCCGGCCAGGGAACACCAACATGCTCCTAATGGCCTTCAAATCGACAGCACTCGTGGTATTCCTTCTCGCGAACGCAACACATGCGATCGACCGCCACTCCCTCGTACAACGCTTCAACCCCACCCGGGTCGGTTTCGATCCTAATGCCAACACCCCCATGCAGCTCGGGAACGGGAACTTCGCATTCGGGGCGGACGTGACGGGTCTCCAGACGCTTCTGCCATTCGGGATACTATCATCGTGGGGCTGGAAGAACGATACGCTGCCCACAGGCGAGACGATACAAGACGTCGAGGATTATAGGGGCGTGAGCTGGTACAACCATGGCCGGCTTGTTGAATATGATTTTGGGGGCGGAGGAGTCGAGCAGTGGCTTATTGCGAATCCAAATAGAGTCAATCTGGGACGAGTGGGGTTGGTGTTTTGGGATGCGGATGGGGAGAAGGTTGAGGTCGCTGGGGATGATATCGCCGATGCGCATCAGGAACTCGATTTGTGGACAGGGAAGCTGAGGAGCCAATTCTCGTTTCAGGGGAAGGCTGTGTCCGTCGAAACTGCCGTGGCGGATAGTACAGGAACTGTTGGGATTGTCGTCGAATCTCCACTTCTGAAAAGCGGTCGACTTGGAGTTTTCCTCGATTTCCCCTGGAACGACGGATCGGCGAAGTTCAGCGCGCCATTCGTGGGGAACTGGAACGCGACAGCGAATCACACCACCGTATTGACGACCTCTCGTGATGGGAGCGCAAGCATCCTCCATACGATGGTTGCATCGACATTCAAGACGAGCGTGGAGGGCGTGAAGTTTGGTGTCTCGCGCGATACGCCGAACGCTCATCGCTACACTGTTCGGCCGTCGAAGGAAGCATCGACATTCTCCCTCACAGTGAACTACGGGCTCCCAGGCAATACACCAAAGGCTGTGTCGGCACAGAACGTTTTTGACAGCTCCGCGAGAGCTTGGAAGGGGTATTGGGCGACAGGCGGCTTTGTTGATCTATTGACGGGATCGACGGATTCGCGTGCGGTAGAATTACAAAGGAGGATCATTCTGTCGCGATATTTGATGAGGGTGAACGAGGCCGGCGACACTCCGCCCCAGGAGGTGAGAGCCTTATCCTGTCGAAAGACATCGAGAGCTAATCGCGATAGCAGTCGGGTTTGGTCAACAATGGTTGGGTGCGTATACAAGTCCGTCCCCAGGCGATTCATTCATCTGACGGATTCGGTGTCATCTCCTTGTGAATGTGATCGGCTTCCAGTACGGGTGAGTGTTGAAGATATTATGATGGGTCGTTGGCTAATCGTGCGGGAATCTAGGAAATTCCATATGGGTGAGTTGTCTCGAACCCAACCAAGGATCGTAGTGAACAACATCTGCAGAGATGTACTTCTGGCACAGCGCACACTGGGCGCTTTGGAACAACTGGGACCTCCTCCGCCGCTCGTCCACAATCTACTCCCGCTTCCTCAGCAGCTCCATCGCTCGCGCCCAAGTCCAACAAGGCTGGCCCGCCGGCGCTCGTTGGCCCAAGATGACAGACCCATCCGGTCGTTCCGCGCCGGGACAAATCAACAATCTTCTCATTTGGCAGCAGCCCCACCCCATCATCTTCGCGCTATACGAGTACCGCGCCTTTCCAGGGAGAGAGACGTTGGAGAAGTGGAGGGACGTTGTGGTGCAGACTGCGAACTGGATGTCGGTCTTTGCATGGCACAATGCAACGACGGGCGTCTATGATCTTGGGCCGCCCATGTATATCACCAGTGAGGACACCAGCCCGAATGTCACGCAGAACCCGGCTTTCGAACTCGCATATTGGCGTTTGGGGTTGAGTATTGCTTCGGAGTGGGTCACGGAGCTGGGTGAGGATGTTCCTGGTAATTGGACAACGGTCGCGGGCAATCTCGCCAAACTGCCTGTGGAAAACGGGACATATGCCGTGTACGAGGGGATCAAAAGCGACTTCTGGACCAATCCGGCGTATACGAATGATCATCCAACTCTCGTTGGTTTGCATGGCTGGCTTCCTCCCACACCCGGACTGGATCTCGCGATAGCGAAGGCAACAGCAGAGAAGGTCTGGGTGAATTGGAATGTCACTAATTGTTGGGGGTAGGTGGTATGTTTTTACACGTACTGAACTGAACTGAGGATGCTTCAGATGGGACTTTCCAATGCTCGCCATGTCTGCGGCGCGTAACGGTGAACAAGAGAAAGCAATAGAGTGGCTACTGCATCCACTTTTCGCCTTTGACGACGTTGGAATGCCTATCGGTGGTGTCAGGGTGCCAACGCCGTACTTCCCAGGTTCAGGTGCCCTTCTGCTCGCTGTCGCAATGATGGCTGAGGGCTGGGATGGCAGTAATGGAACGGCGCCTGGTTTCCCGGGTAGTGGATGGAATGTTCGCGTGGAGGGCCTCAGTAAAGCTCTCTGAAACGAGGTGTACAGTGGCCTGGCGTAGCTCACAACCCTTGCGGCCATACCTGCAACTTCTGAGTAACTTGAACGCACTACGTATTGGGCGGCCTGTTAGTACAGTACAAGGAAACTCAAACGATGACCATACCGCTGGTGATGATAATAGATCACTGTAATTGGTGTGATTCATGGAAGTTGACATCGTCAAGGTACCTCTTTTGCGATTTGAATTTCGATATCACTGCCGCCTCAATTTTGCGAATTTTGTGGTTAGTACTTATGACATGCTGTCAAGTGAGTCCACAACATGTTCCCATCATTGTTCACCATTCCTGGTCAGTTCCCGGTGGGTGTGGGGAGCAGAAATGCGGGGTATTAGGAACCGTAACAAAAGTGCGTGCTGCTGGTCAATGGCAAAATCATTTCGGTAACTTCCGCGCCACTCTGGCCATCCATGGCGACCCATTTCGATGCCGAAAACCTCAAGTTTTGTGCGCGCTCAACGGCGACATGTCTCGCGCTCAACGTATGACACGGTGTTCGTCGAGTCGACTTCAACTTCTCGCGCAATATATACACTAAGTCTAAGTAGGTATGGTAAATCTGTTGGAATTTGAACGAAGGTGGTGAGATTATATCCCCTCCCGGAGGCTACCATTTGAAATAGTGAGGGGTATGTAGTTCTGTCTTCGCATTAATTTCATGAAGGAAAGGAAGGCTGTTAAGTGGGTTAGTCGTGTGTAAGGTGAGTACATACATGAACGACTTGCCTCGACTCAATCAAAATTCACGCCACAAGTGACATCTTTCCATTCATCGAGTGCCTTTAAGACCTTGTTGCACTTGTCTCTCACGTCTCGCTCAGCATCTTCACCAAGAATAAGCAGCCCAGGCCATGGCCGACCCGCAGCAATGCCTTCCCCTCGAACGATATCGACTACGGCCTCCATGGCCTTCTCAGGATCACCCTTCTCGGTTCCGGCGACGGACTTGAACTTCGACATGCTTGCTTCTCGCAGAGCATTGTTGGCGGCGATAGGGTTGCTTGTGTGATACAATTGGCCATAAATCCCTTCTGTGCGGAACGAGCCAGGGGCGATCAGCAAAACGCGAATGTTGAATGGAGCAACCTCGGTCGCAAGAGTCTCAGTCAGAGCTGGAGAATCGCGTAAACATTTACGGCGTGTATCCTTTCTAAAAGGACAACTCACAATGTATAGCTGCTTTTGACGCGGAATAAGGTCCTGTGAAGTGTGTGTGTGTCGTCAATTCAAACACTTTACCTGTATTTGAAAACATACCGATGCCCTGAATGACGTGAGTTTTAGTTACTTGGGGTGCCTGCAGGGAAATAGGTATGTAGACTCACGGGGATCTCAGTCTTCCACGCAGATCGGCTTCCCACAACAAGTATTGAAGCCTCCTTACTAGCGCGCAAATGAGGAAGCATTGCCGCGGTCACGTCTATTACACCAAATACGTTGGTGGCGAACTGCCTCCGAAGGTGCGCGGCACTCGGGACGAATGAGGACGAGGCACAAATCATAACGGAATGAACTTACCCGCCTTCCTCTAGAAGACTTGGGAGTCCAATACCTAATGCGAAATATATTCAGTGACGCGTATTCATGTCGAGCCTTGAATGTACTCACCAGCATTATTCACCAAAACATCTATTTGTCCCCAGATTGCATATGCTTCATCGGCTTTAGCCTTGAGCACAGCCTCTGTATCCGTGACGTCTAGTTGTAGAGTGCGAAGGTTGTCGCGAAGAGCGGGATCAATGCAGGAGACCACATCTTGCAGTTTCTCGAGCGACCTCGCCGTCGCGATCACACGGTCGCCGCGTTTGAGTGCCGACTGAGCGAGTCGTAGACCGAAGCCGGACGATGTTCCTAGGTAAGGACAGAAACATCAGTCAGTCAGTGTCGTCTTGAGTGACGGCGCGTGATATACCTGTAATAAACCAAACTCTGGAAGACATGGGGATTCTAGATAGTATGGGAGTGAAATTTTTCATGCCACCCTTCGCTTTATATATGTTCGGGTCCTCTAAGCAATAAAGTATGCGTCAAAATGTGACACATGAGTCGGGGGTCCGTTGAGCGGCTTAAATTCTCCCAGTTTTCAGGGGTATACGCAGTGGGACTCCA